ATGCTTGGCAGAAGCCAATTTCGATGGTTGCGGTTTCCTCTGGGTTGTGTCCACATGCCCAGTCATTGCTAGCAGCCACGCAGCTAGCTGCACCATCTCTTCTGGCCTCTCGGAGCCCGTGCCCTCTTCCCTGCCCCCATAGAGCGAGGGCAGTGACGGTTCTTGATTTATAGGGTGTACAGGACAGTGAGAGACAGGTTTGGACCCCACCGTGAATAATCTTCCTTGAGTACGTTTAAAGTTCCCACCAAAATGGAGTCTTTTGCATTTGCAAAGAGACCTTTAATGAGCCCCTCCTTGTACAGAGGAACAAGGCAAGCCCAGGAAGGGTAAGAGTCTCACCGCATGAGTCAAGGTTACTACTAAGCCCCCGTCCCTCCTCTTCCCTTAGAGCCTTACCGCACTCTGGGACGAGGAGCTGCCCAGAGGCAGGCCTGATAAGTGCAGGGAGTCTGAGTACCCGGGGATTCATGCCTCCTTCCACTTCTCTTTATGGAGATTTAAGCAGATTCCTCATGGAATGAAGCAAACCCATAAAAGCAGTCATGGAAACCAGCCTCCTGCTTCCACAACATCTTAGCACTCAGCTATCTGTTTTACTATCTCCCATCCCTTCCATCCACCATCTGTCCATTCACTCACCCATTCAACATTGGTGAGGGAGCACCTACGATGTGCTGGTGCTGAATTGCACACTCAGCCCCACCCTTCCTGGAACCCTCAGCTGGAAGAAACAGTCCCTTCGTCTGGCAGTGACCACACAGGTAAGTGAAGGAGCTAGCCAGATGTCACAACATAGGGGAAAGGGCCTGGGAGGGTAGGTCAGAGAGGCGGGCCTTCCTGAGATCTTTTTTTTTTTTTTTCCTTCCTGAGATCTTGTGCTCCTTCCCTGCCCCAACCCCAGCTAGCTTTCGGGAGTCCGCGTTCTCATTGTCTGCCCCTCCACCCACCTGCCTCCAGTTGGGCTGAGTAGACTCAAAAGAGACCTGGGCAGTGCCCAGGGCTCCAGCCTGAGGCAGGTAGGGCGGGGGTTGCAGAGGAAAGGGATGGAAGCTGGGGTGATCCCTGGGATGCTGAGTCCCCAACATGATTGACATGAGGAGACTTGGGCATGAGCAAACTGCCTCGAATCTGCATGATGCACCCATCCAAGCTCCCTGCTACACTCCCTGGGTGACGTTGCTGCTCCTGCGCCCTCACCAGTCCCCTGCATGAGTCTCTCACTGGCCAAGGTATGGCAATGTGTGAACTTGACAGTTACAAGGCGTTTTTAATCTACCACGAACTGAAAGTGGGAGGTCAAGCAGAGAAATGTATAAGGCTGCAAAATACTTGAACAACATCATTGACAGATGAGACTCAGTCCTACAGCCAGCCACTGGAGCACGCAAATCACTCTCCGGCACATTTGGGAGCCTTACAACATTCATCCAGCAAAAGAGCAGATGACCGTTCAGCACAGGATCAACTTCAGCACTCACTCGGCGCTTTCCTTAAAGTTTCAAACCAGGGATAAAAAGAGCCTTCTGCATCAGAATGGACTCGGTGGCAGTGAGTTTGGTTTTTTGAGTTTTCTTTCATCTGAAGGCTGATATAAAAGGGTCACATTTTAGAAGGATTGTTTTTAAAGCCAGCACTAAAACAAGAATGTTGTTGTTTCCATGTAACAATGTGTTAGAAACTGGACAATGCCATAAAACAATTAAAAAACCAAAATGATCGAAAGGAAACAAAATTGCAGCTATTCGAAGGTGATGTAATTGCATCACAGAAATATGCAAGCA